GCTCAATCCCCACAAAATTGTTAAATAGTGCTGGTCCCCATACCAACCCCTGAGGAATACCACTCATCACTGGTCTCCGCTCAAGACACTGAGCCACTGACCACAACTCTGAGTACAAACACCCAAGCCAGTTCCTTATCCACTGCCTGATCCATCCATCAAACTCATGTTACTCCAATTTAGAAACAAGGATGTCGTGTGGGACAGTGTCAAACACTTTGCACAAGTCCTGGTAGATGATGTCAAGTTGCTCTTCCCTTACTCAAAGCTTTAATCCCACCAAATTTGTCAGGCACAATTTGCCCTTGGTGAAGCCATGCTGGCTGTAACCAATCACCTCCTTAGTTTCCATATGCCTTAACATGGTTTCCAGGAGGATCTGCTCCATGATCCTGCCAGGCACAGAGGTGAGACTGACTGGCCTGTAGTTTCTTGGATCTTCCATTTTCCCTTTTTAAAACTAGGGGTTATGTTTCCCCTTTTCCAAGCAGTGGGAACTTCACCAGACTGCCATGACTTCTCGAATATGAGGGGTAGTGTCTTAGTACTTCATCTGCCAGTTCCCTCAGATGCATCTCAACAGGTCCCAGGGACTTGTGCACCTTCAGGTTCCTTAGGTGGTCTCAAATCTGGTCTTCTAGAGCAGACGGGTCTTCATTCTCCCAGTCCCTGCCTTCGCCTTCTGCGACTTGGGCAGTGTGGCTTGAGCACTTGTCAGTGAAGACCGAGATAAAGTCACCAAGTACCTCAGCCTTCCCCATCTCTTGGGTAACCAGGTCTCCCATTTCCTTCTAAAGAGGGCTCACATTTTCCCTAGTCTTCCTTTTACCACCAACATATCTATAGAAGCTTTTCTTGTTGACCTTGATGCCTTGGCTAATTTAATACTATCAGGGCTTTAGCTTTCCCAACCTGATCCCTGGCTGTTCAATGTCTCTGTATTCCTCCCAGGCTACATGTCCCTGCTTCCACCCTCTGTAGGCTTCCCTTTTGTGTTTGACTTTGTCCAAGAGCTCCTTGTTCACCCACACAGGCCTCCTGGCATCTTCCCATCGCTGTTGGAATGCATTGCTCCTGAGCTTGGAGGAGCTGTTCAGTATTAAGCTAGGAGGGAGGAGAGGAGGCAAGCTCTCTCCCCTTATTGGGAGATCTCCTTCAACCAGGACTTTAGAACCAAGGGCTGACCCTGGATCAGTTTTTCTGGGTTAAGGACTGGGTGGCACAGGACTTTGGCTAGAGCTAAGATCATGCCAGTAAAACGTCAATATACTTGACCATGACAGATAAGGTTTTTCCTTCACTCATTATTGAGTGATCAAGCTTCAGGTCAAGGAATTAACAGTAATCTACAAAGATAAAATACACTGGGGAGACAAGACAGGAGAGACAGAGTGTCTCTTCACTCTATTCCAGCTGCAATTTGTTTAAAATCTCGTAGAGTTTGGTCATCTCAATCTATTGCCTCCCTGAGAACCAACTCAAGCCAACTCTCACAGTGCCATTCCTCCTGAGCGAGCCATCAGATGCCTTAATTTAAACCAGGTCTTACTTTCTCTCAACCTTCAGTAACTTCAAACTTCTCCAAAATACTGACTGCATCTTTATGAGAGGATCTCACATCTTATTTGACATGTGATCATTTCAATATTTCTGCCAACTACAGTGACTCTTCACAACAGAAAATATTCATTCTATTTTAAAAAGTATTAAAAAAAAATTATAGGAAAAGGGAGAAAACCAAGACACATTGTAATGAGCCCTGTATTTATGGATTACCAAAAGTCCTTGAAAGTGAATCTCCCAGGTACAAACTATACCCTCTTATTTGGCAGCACAGCACACCTATCACTGTACATCTCCCTACAGCTGAAGTAATAGTCAAAATTTGTAAGGAAATCAGCTGGGTGTGAAGTAACTGAAAAGTGAAAGCACAGTCATGTAGTCACTTCTGATTTCAGATTAGCAGCTGCTTTTATTAGAAAGCAGAGATCAACCCTGAGACTTATCTACTAAGATGAGAGCTTCAACTTAGAACACAGGTAGAAGTGAAACGTGTAGTTGGGAAGCTGAAAGCCATGGTCACTGGTTACTTGTAGGCCACATTTTTATGAACATCAGTCTCTTATTAAATTCCCATGAAGCACTCAGCTCTGCTGGTCTGTATCTTTTTTTTACAGTAGTCTGGGCATTGATACTGTGGAACACTTTTTATCCATTTATTCTAAATCATGATTCTGCATGACCACAATGATCTCTGTCATAAGTACTGGTGATAAACCAGACCAAGAAGTAGGTCTGACCCAAATGTTGCTATAAACATAGTAGGAATTTAACATAAAATTCTGCTTTTGTGTCCAAGAGCCTCCAAGTAACCTTTTATAGGCATAAACAAGGGTGGAATTTGGCCCAGAGCAACTTGCTTTTAAGCAGCATTCAAACAAGAAGATGATTAATACATACCACAAGGAAATCAACATACCAGAAAAACTGCCCAGGATCTTAAAAAAAACTAGAAATGCCACATACAAAACAGGTAGATATTAAAAAAAATAGTAGTGAATGATTCTTAGACACCTAAGGATTACTATTACCAAGAGTGGGTTGTGTGTATAGTTGCTGAGAACATAAAACTTCTTTTGACTACAAAACTATCAAGAATGAGAACTCACAGCAGCAAAAGGTTGAACGAGCCTTCTGTTATCATAAAAAAGAATGATGAAGAAGAGATGAAAGTGGTGAGATCATCACATCTAAACACCATAAAATCCTGAAAAACTTCCAAACCAAGTATTTCCTATTACCCTTTTGAAAACAGATGCATAAGCACATTACTGTCACAATCATCATTAGAGAAATCTGGTAGCAAAATAAAAGTGTTTGACAGAAGGAATCGGCAATACATTCAGAAGCACTGACCTAAACCGGGTGCATTCGTATCGTGTCACTGTGAAATGCAGAAAGCGCACATGCACTTATCCAAGCCAGAAACACAACTCCCCTTGACTCAAGTATAGCCAAGACTGAGCTAGAAAGGTGCACACAATAGCTTCAAGGAGATTTCTGAAGAGCATGCCCCTGTGGCATGGGACACACCTCCTGTTAACACAAATTTAGAAACAATTATGGGCAGGGCAGATCAAATTTCCATAAACCCATGGAGTAAAACTACTTAGCAGAAAGCACAGCAAAACAATTGTTTCCAAGCACTTTACTGTGACAATTCTTCAAGTTCCATGAGAAGCAAAAGATCCTGGAAGAACACATGGCCAGGCTCAAGCTGATTGGGTTCTGCTGTAGCAGCAATTTCTCATCAAGAGTAATTGCTGTACACAGAAAACACACAGCACTTTTGAATGGGTGTTTCTGCCCCTCCTGTCAGGCAGCTTCATTGTGCCTTCAACCACTAGCATCTGTTAGATGAGAACGCTAACAGCAAACAGCTTTCAAGGAAGTTGGTAAGGAAGGAAAAAAAAATAGGAAGTCTCTCTCAAAACCGTTCTGTTTTGTTTACAGTGGTCTCCCCCAAACAGTCCAGAAACTTCAAAAATCCACTTTAAAAAGCAGTTACTTAAAAATGGTGCATTTCAAACGAGGGGAAAAGGATAAGACTGGTATTTGACTTTTTCAATGCCAAATAACAATTTCAGAAGATTTATTTATTTTTGAAGAACAGAATGGAACACATGCATAAGACCTGGCTGTCTTCACAAATACAAGGTGCACTCACTGTTCTGAAGGCAGATCATGCATTTAGCAGCATTGTTCATTCAAAGCTGAATTTTAAGTCAGTTGAGACTTTGACAGCTAGTAGGGAAGAAGAAAACATTTTAGATTTCTAAACACTGTTTCTAGCTTCTACTGCTTAGCACTATGCCATTCCTATAGCAATATATACATTAGCAAGGAACATGTTTATGCTGAAGCCTACTCACTACATAATATCACATCAAAATAAAAAAAAAGAGAGACTCTGTTTTAACTTTTCATTAAAAATAGCAGACGGAAAAGACAGACTTTCAAAAACAACCTCACAGAAACCAAGCAGGCTGAGACATGCAAACATTTGACAAAATGTACACACACACACACACAAATGTTGCACTGAGGATTCAAGAACCAAACGGATTGAAATACTGTGTTAACTGAGGACAGATGTTATCAAGAGAGCATTTAAAAGTATGTATTTAAATGACAACTACTACATTTTGTTGTCTAACTAGACTTATGATGCTCTGCAAGCTTCCTGTTGGCCATACACAAGGAAACTTCTGTACCCATTACTAGAACACAAAGTCTGAGAAGAAAAGATTTCGGTCCAAGTTTTGTTCTTTTTATACACAAGTTCATTTTATCTCAGTAACAGTATTCAGGACTGAACAGGTTACATAGAAAAAACGTTAGGTGGCATTTGTTTCTCCTCTCGTATAAAAAAAATGCAAGTGGAAAAGCTCAAGGAAATTTTGTTCATACTAAACCATGTGCCAGATGAGAAAGGGTCAAATAAACATATTCTAGAAAACAGTCTCAGCTGAGAAGCAAGGCAGAATTCTGACACACAACATCCTACTACAGCTGCTGGAGGAGGTACAGGACACATTGCCTCAGCAGCCTGAAGTTAGGTTAGCCTTGTCGCTTTACCAGTATAAAAGCCTATGTCAAGGATCCAGACTTGATTCATGTTCTTCAGTTTCATCAGGTAGTTCCTCAGCAGAGGCATCACACACATTGTCCTGGTTATCTGCAGACCGATTTAGCTCATCAGATTCCCCAGCTGCAATCTGAGTTGCTTCTTCTTCCTCTTCTTCCTCAACTTCCCCATCATCCTCTACATCCATCTCGAACACCCTCACATGACGGAGATTTGAATTTAGCTACGGAGACATTAAGAAGTTTCCATTAATAAATAAATCAGAGGATCAATGCCACCTCAAACGTCAGCCAATAGCTTTGAAAATAGCCTTTATCTTTGAAATGGAGGTATCAAGGAAATTAGCAACATTTTTATGGCTCTGCAGGGTGAAAAGTAAATCAATTAATTTCTGATAAAGTTTTTCCATGGTGTGTTATGAGAGGTATGACTATCTTGACATACTTAAAACAGATTATGAGAATAATCTATTTGGTAAAAAAAAAAGTATTGATAAAGCTCACTAAGTCAGTAGAAACAGGTTATCAGTCTCCACAGACTTGCTCATAGATATTGTACTTACCACACAGGAAACTTTTCTAATGCCATTTACAGAAACATACTGAGCTTTCATGTTCTCCAGCACTCTCCACTGATTCTCCAAGAAGACAGTACGCGTAGGTATCTCACCACTTTGCTCATCCAGCCTGCACGTCAGAAGAAAGGCAGAAAGCTAGTACAGAAGAAACAATTCCAGTACTAAGAAAAACCTCAATCAGCCCAGGTTTTTTATGTCTAAGTTTTATTATACCATATGCAACAAGCAGCTAAGCATGTGAAACCATCATAACTCTGTTACTGATATTCTGGAGAGGGGGAGCCAACTGTGAAGACACAGCATGTTTCAACTGAGGTAGACTGCAGCAGATGAGAAGGGAGTTGGCAAGCCTCATCTTCCTACAAGTAACAGCTACAGCAGGAGAACGAGGATGGCTTTCCTTCAGAGCTCTCCTCCGAACGACAAGGAGTTTCTGAACAAAATCCCAGAGGCAATGCCTCCACTTACACAAGTGGGGCCTCCACGACCTTTCAAAGATGTATCACTCCAGTTCAGCCCCTATCACAGGGAGTGGATGAAGGAACTTCCTGCCAATTACAGCGCCCAGGATTAGTTTGAACCCACTTTTAATATTTTCTGTTCATTCTTCAGTACACAATTTCTTCGTGGCGTAGACCCAAAATATTTACAATACAGTATGGTTCTTTATTTTGAGGTAAAAATGTATCTTAAGCAAAACACCAGAGAGGCACAGGGAGAAAAGAGAAGAAGCAAGTGAGGCACAAGAACTAAAAGACTAGATTCACCCCTTGAACTACACTGGCCTTCTGTGTGTGTTCATCTCCTCGAGACGCTCTCCCTACGCCAACACACAGAGGCACCAATTGTGATGTTTCAAGGCAAAACTGACTATAGTTCTACATGTGACTACCATGGGAGAGATGAAGAAATATCTGTGTATCCTTATTGCAAGGCAGATTTATACAAGCAAATATACTGAAAACATCCTAAACTCATGTATTCTGACTAGCAAAGTTAGCATCCTCTAAAGAAAAGAAGATTCCTGATTCTACAGGATGTCTTCAACTGGTACTCCCAAGAGCCGTGTACACAGCTCAAAAACACAAAACCAACACTAATCCAATCTCCAGAAAACCACAGAACAAAAATGTTTAGGAGGTTTCCATTTCCCCACCTCACCCGCCCTGGCACAAAAGGAGAGCCACGAAGATGCTCAGAGGGCGGGAGCCCCTCTGCTATGGGGACAGGCTGAGAGAGTTGGGCTTGTTCAGCCGTGTGAAGAGAAGGCTCTGGGGAGACCTTATAGCACCTTCCAGTACCTGAAGGGGCTACAAGGAAGCTGGGGGGGACTTTTTACAAGGGCCTGTGGTGACAGAGCAAGGGGTAATGGGTTTAAATTGAAAGTGGGGAGGTTTAGATTAGATATCAGGAAGAAGTTCTTCCCAGAAAGGGTGGTGAGGCACTGGAACAGGTTGCCCAGAGAAGCTGTGGATGCCCCATCCCTGGAAGTGTTCAAGGCCAGGCTGAATGATGCTTTCAGTACCTTTTAGTAGAATCCCAGATGAATTCCTTGTCTTGGTCCTCATCTGTATATACTGAAGGTAAAGGCAGCTGAGCTAAGATTCTCTCCTTCCCCTCTTGTTCCATGCTCTCCTTCAGAATTACAGTTACAGTTTCATCATCATAGAAGTGTGCATCTAAACAACTGTAGCATCTATAAGAAAAGAATTTAGAAAGCATCGAAGAATAAAAGTGAATACAGAACTATACTTTTCAATGAATGCTGTGCAACTTAAATAATCAGTAGTTAACAGTGAATTTTACTGTAAACAATAAAAAAAGATCAACCATGCGGCTAAGACCCTGAAAGACAGCCAGCGCCGTTCCTGTCTCATGCGGGAAAGATTATTCTGAAGGTAAACCAAAAAAAAAAAAAAAAACCCACCACCAACCACCCACCACAAACTACAACTTACTAGCAATCTTATTTTTTCCCATTTCAGGTGACATTTAAGAAGGAGTAAACACGGACACCAAAGAAAATCTAGGAACACAACTGAAGGTACTGAGGGCAATCACATCTGGCTTTTCTACATGAAAAGGATGAGCTTGGTCTGCCATGTCTTGCCATGGCAAGAGCCGTTTCCAGCTAGCTTTGTTTCTTGCAAATGTGCTAAAGCTCTAGTTTTCAACTAGAAAAAAAACATTGTCTTGACTTTTCTACATGAAAAGGATGAGCTTGGTCTGCCATGTCTTCCGAGATGCCTTCATTCAGGCATACCATGTCTCACTCCTCCTTACCTAAAGGATATCACAGATATAAGCAAGAGCCGTTTCCAGCTAGCTTTGTTTCTTGCAAATGTGCTAAAGCTCTAGTTTTCAACTAGAAAACAAACATTTACTTGACCTTGAAATGAAGTGCACTATAAGACTCCTACAACACAGAATAAAAGCCAAACAGTAAGGCCTGCAAAGTTAACTTAATGTAAAACAAACTCTAGAAAACACGGTCTTCAATTTAGCAATCTGTAATTCTGGAAGAAAAATTAAATATACTGACCTGGAGTCTGAGATCTCATTTATAGTGTTGTTCAAGAAGTTTCCAAAATCTACTGCAAGGATTCCATTACTGACAGACCTAGAACAACAGTGTTCATTACCTCAGTAGTTTATTTTCCATTCACAGAGAATTCAAACTCTCTAATGGCAACTGTGGTTAAGAGATAGCGTAAGCCTGTCTCAGCTCAGCACAATGCACATCTACAACCCAAAATGACGTCACTGGTGGATGGGAACCTTTTGATTTCTTCTGCCCCTCAGCAAAACGTGACTGCTGGAGTCAAACGGTAAACTGCATCTGGCTTGTAGGATACAGTCGTTCTTTGCTCAACTCTTGGCTCAAGTGTCCTAGTCTCAGGTCTGTTAAGTTACTTGTTACTCAAACCTACAGAAACCAAGTTTAGACTTTTAGATATCAACGAGGGAATAAATAGTATAGAATCTACAGCACAAGGCTGTAATTTTGTCATCAGCAGCTCTCAACTGGAAACATGAAAGGTAGTTTTACCATCTGTTATCCTCATCATTGTAACTGCTTTAAAAATTCCCACCCCTACCACAGTTCATTATCTCCTCAAACTGAATGACAGAGATGATAAAAATCAGTATTTTACAGAGGAGGAGGAGATTTTTATTTTCTAAACCCAGATCATTTCCGTGATCCCACTGACAGAATGCATCTTAAAGAAGTTGTATCAGCACAAATAGGCAGTGACAAACTGCCTCTTGGGCAGAGAAACTCTTGCAGGCACACAAACCTACACCCCGAAGAGATGCATTCTGTTTGTTGCACCTATGAGTCCACCTCCCATTTTTCCTTAGAGTATTAAATTACAGGCTGCAAAGGGTTTATCAAAGAATAGCATTTATAGGAAGACAAAGCAACACTGGAAGCGTGATTCCCTGTCATGTACCGAAGATCACAGACCACTTTTTCCCTTTTTGTCTTACCTGGAAGTATCAGTATGTCTCCTCAAAATGCATATTTTAGAAATAGAATTTTCTAATATGGTGAAGAGAACATAATGTATATTGGATGTTTTGTCATTCCACCTGTAATATGGGGGAGGAAATGAAAATTTTCAACAAGTTTTAATAATTGGTAAATGACACAGAAGAAGGAAAAGCAACATACTTACAGAAATGGTAGTTTAAATAACTGAGGCGTGGAACCATCACTGAAAAAGAAAAACCCAACCAGTTTATAAAACACTACTGGGATTTTGTGCAACTGAGCTTTAGAAGTAGTGTAAAGAAATACCTTTGAGAGGTTTTGTAGAGTGACATGCAGACTGCTTGATGCACTGACTTTCCAATTACATCCTAATAAATATAATGAAGATAGGCCAAAAAATGCAAGGAGTTATTCATAATTATACATCTTTAAGACAAAAAAACCCCTCAACCAAACAAAAAACAGCCGAAAGAAAAATCCACCAATATTTATACTGGAATAAACACCCCAAATGCAAACATTACTGTCACTCGATACAAGTTTCATGCTTCTTCACAATATATGGACTAATGTATTGCCAAACACAGTTACGGCACACTGTGCACACACCAAGCTAGTTAAAAAACATATCCCAGTGATGTGGGAACAGAAGACATGAAACAAAACAATCCCCCATTAGGCCCTCCCTAGCCACACACTTGAGACCTCCTGGCAGTGGTGAAGCTGGGCTACATGCTAGCACCTAAAGTTGTAGGCACTCAGAGGCACAGATTCAACCCTCAGGCCTTACTAAGCACGATTACGATCTTCAGTTGACTGCTACCCCTCAAAGAAAGTTGTAATTTCCATAAATTGGACTTACCGCTGGCTTTTGTAAACACTGATCGATGACCCCTTCCATTTGCCTTTTGACAAAATGCAGTGATTTCTCAGGGTAGTAGGGAAACAAAAGTGGGCTTTCTGCAAACAGATAAAGTTCATTTTAAAAATGCTTGTATTTTTGTAAAAACATACTACTCTTACTAAAGTGACAAATTGGAATGGGTCCAGCGGAGCGTCAATAAGATGGTCACAGGGCTACAGCACATGCTTGACAAAGAGAATCTGGGGGGGCCGGGTTCATCCAGCCTAGGGAAGCAAGGGCTAATAAGGAGGCGCCCGTGGCTCACTAAAAAAACGTAATTTTTAAAGCTGCACACAGAGAGGAGCAGAGTCATGAGCTCCAGCAAGGGAAGTTCCAATCAGATATAAGAAAAAGAAGTTTCCACAAGGACTGGTCAGTCACTGGAGCAGGGCGCCCAGGGAGCCTGCAGGGTCCCTATCCTTGCAAGCGTAGAGGACCTCACAACTTGCCCTGCTGTGGTTGGATTAGGTGACCGCCTGAATTATTTTCCAATTCTAAATTCTAACTCAAGTAACTAGCTGGACTACAATATGAAACAAGATAAACGAATGAGAAATGGAGGCCTGTCTGCTGCTTCGAGTTTTCTTCACAGCCCATTCAAAATTGCAAAAAAATACAGAATCGCGTTTACCCAAGAGCCAGAAACACAGTTGCCATAAAATATCTTGTTTAAACTAAACAATTTCCATACTTTCCATAGTAGCTATGATTTGGCTTCAATGGGACCAATTTAGTCTTAGGAAATGAAATACTTTGGAAGACGACAGTTTTTGTAATAAAACTCACTATTTATTTTAAGTATATAACCTGTTTCTTTCCAATATTTAGCTGTAAAAATCATAAAAATTACATCAACCAAATCAGCAATATGAAACACCAAAGAAGGGTAGAAAGTGTCAAGGACATAAGCATTACTTGTCCTATAAATCTTACAGTTCTGAGAGAGAGATAAACATCTCAATACTTGCCAAATTAATACCAACAAAACCACTTACAAACCATCTCTCCAAACAACCACGGATCTCGGGTAGTAACAGAAATGACCAGTCAAGTAGTCCACACATTTAAAGTATCAAACACATTTTCAAAGCATGTTTAAAAAAAGCATCTTCTAAATACTACTTTGCCAAACAAAAAGGCTACCGCTTCCCCCTTTTTTAACTGAATTAAATAGGCAGAAAAAGGCAGCTATAGCCAATTTTATTAGAAGACAGCTTGTGCTGTATAGGTTTTACAGTCTATGGCTTCTCAAGTTAAACAAGAATAATTTTCAACATCAGCTTGTTACAGTCTCTTACTACTTTTTCACCACTGATTAACAAAATAGCCTCAGATTCTAGTCAAAGAGAACAAGTTAGGACACTTCCCCCATGTATGACCTAAGGATAATTATTCCTTCCTTGATCTGGAATTAACATCTAAAATAGACATCTCCTGGTATTCCTTCCAAGCCAATATCTGACACTGGTACACAGAAGGCAGGAAACTCCTAATACCCAGAAAATGCTAACTGACTGGGCAAGCAGCTACATAAAAACTGTGTAAAATAACAAGGCCCATTTATTTTATTCTGCTCAGATGGAGACCCATGACTAACACCAGAGAAAAAACTCGTAAGTGTGAAAAACCAGATCACTTCTACATGTGTTACATTCTATGTGTATCTTTGATTTGATTTTACTTTTTACTAAAGCACATGTTACCTTTCAGATGAGTACTGTTTTTAAGAAAGTTAAACCACTGATTTCCCTCTGTATTAGGTGGTGACACAAGGTCATCGTCTTCATCTTTCAAGTACTAGGAAAGAAACCGACATTTGTGAGACTGCATTTTAAGAATAAGGTACAATAGAATTCACCTCCAACATTGCCCCCTATGAGTCTGTTAAAGATCACTTCCTAATTCAACATGCCTTACTCTGAAAAACTAAATATATTACCTCTTCTCAAAACAAGAAGACAAATCAACTATTATCCAAGATCATAGAGTGGTATTTCCATAAGAAACTGAATTTTACATCGATTTTGAGCACAAAGTTTTGCAGTCCAGTGATTAATGGCATGAAAAAGACAGACACATTTCAGTTTTACATTACAATTGCTGGCTGTGAAGAAGTTTCATCCTTTTTCTAAAAATACAGCATGTGTAAAGTAAAACCTTAAGATGTGTTTTTAAACACTCCTTTTCCTAATAATAGTCAAAAATAATTAAAATATTTTCCTTTACCATTACTGGAATGAGCAGCACATAGCAAAAGGAACAGAGAATAAAAGCAGGCACAGCTTCAAAAGCTTCTCCATCTAAGGATTTTCTCATTTATTCTTTTTTCATTTACTTCCTAGATCCTTACCTGGCCAACTCTCTCCACATTGAAGTATTTTCCTTTGCGATTGTAAAGTTCTGGTGCCTGAAAAAATGATACAAACAAAACTGTTATTTAAACCCGAAGTTAATGAGAAGTACCATATAAAAAGTTGATTGAATTATTTCATTATGGGATTTTTAGATTCCATTCTCGCTGTACTTGGCAAATCAATATAACTTACCTCATTGAAGTGTTCAGTAAGAAAATCAGCGACAAAAGTGATATCTTTTTGAGTCATCTAAAACAAAAAAAAAATGGTGAGAAAAGCAAAGGATAAGAAATAGATTTCAGTGAGCACACAACACGTTCAGTATGCTGCACAAGCACAGCTCCCTCAGCCTGTCTTCACAGAGCAAGTGCTCCAGCCTCCAACCTGCTTGGAAGCCCTCTGCTGAACTCATTCCAGTGAATTCATGTCCGTTTTGGATAGGTGGGCCCCAAACTGGAGAAAGTATTTAGCACTCATCACATCTAGAATAAAGAGGGTAACTTCTTCCCCTTGACCTCCTGGCCGTGCTCCTGTTAGTACGGCCCTGCTTACACCTGGCTGCCTTGCCACCAGGGCACACCGCTGCCTCATGCCCAGCTTGCACCCAGCAGTGTCCCCAGGGCCATCTCAGCAGAGTGCCTCCTCCGCCAGCTGGGGCCCTGCTGTGCAAGGGCAGGGTGTTACTCTACCCCAGGACAGAACCTTGCGTTTGTCCTTACTGAACTTCAGGAGGCGCCTGTCTGTCCACTCTCCCAGCCTATCTTATTTCCCTCTGGAAAGCACCTCTGCCCTCGAGTGTCTTAGCTGGTTCACCCTGTGTGATGGTGTCTGCAAGTCTGAGGCAGGTGTATTCCATCTCCTCTATCAGGGCATTGGTAACAATGCTAAAATCCCATTCTGGCTAACTTAGTGATTTAGGGCACATAAGGAGCTGCTATACACAGAGGCCTCACGTTCACATACAGCGTACTCAAAAGAGCAGTATTAACAAAACGGAAAATGTAACTAACGTGAGACAGCATATTAGGGTGAATCTGCAGGCATCAACTTTCTCAAATGACACAGGCACTATCCTTTAAGTTTTGGAACAAAAGTAAGCCTTTAAAATTGCCCTCTAGGTCAAGCAGAATACAGAATATACCACCATTTACTAGAAAATATTACTACTACCTTGTTCAACTCTGGAAGCACATGATCTTCTGACATCCTCAACATGGCTAAGAGAAAAATTACATTCTTATTGCATTCATATTAATATGTTTTCTTAACATTCTTAATTTTCCATGGCTATGTAATACGGCAGTGCTGATAAAATAGGCAAGATTAACTTGTCAGAAGCAAGAGAGTCTGGAATGAAGAATTATGAACTGAACCTGAAATTAGGTCTCACTTCCCCCACTAGTTTACAACACAAATCTTGGAGAATTTTTATCTTTAATCTTTTCCAACTGCATTGTACCCTCTACAGGACTGAGATAAAATGATGATAAAAAGGGTTCTAAACGTATTCACGTACATACTAACAGCAGTAAAATGGATATATATAATATACATGAATACTGTCATGCCCAGAAGAATGTGTTTTAAGAGAAGTAATTTTAAAGTGAGGTTTAGATAAACAGTTCTCTGTTTAGTTTCGAGACAAGCAAACACAGTGAACATTTAAATAATTAAAGTTCTAATGTTATGACAAAGAAGTCTGATAAGTTCTGCTTTCTGCAATTTTAAAAATTAAAATTATTGTATTCCAGCTAGTAAGTGCCAACACTGCATTTCTGGTACTTCTACAGTATCTGGTAACACTGCTTATTTTTTTGTAAAGTAGTTCGGTAAAGATCAATTTAAAATTATAAGCCTATATATAACCACTTTATAAAAACAAGCAGGCTAAAATACAGTGTTCTGCACTGTTTTCTAACATTTTACTGGCAGCTAGCCAGCTACAATTGGTGGTGGTTATTCAGTGCCTCCAAACACTCAGAGACTGTTCACATCTATGTACAACTTCCCCCCCAACAAGGTCTCCACAGGAGAAAACAGCTAGTGACAGTGTAGAGGAGAGTTAGACTACACTTCAAATTTGGTGTAAGCTACATCCTAAGTCCTTAAATTTCTCCAAGTCAAGACCAGCAAATTGCTCATGAAGCAGATAGCAGTTTAGAGTAACATTACAGGATAAGTATATACAGTACCCACTGCACACACACTAAGTTTAATTGAGATCTATCAAATTTATGATCTGTGTTTCATTTTATAATTATTCTTGCCTCATCAACTGTAACCTTTGGATAAATGTCCAGAAATCTTCTATGATGGAAATAAACAGATGGTTATAACTAAGATCCCTTAACTACTTGCTGACATTTCAGTGCTTACAGTACAAAACAGATACCAGATGCTTACTATGTCATTAAGCTTACCAACATACAGCCATCGAAAAAATGCTTTGAAGTTTTTCATACTACTGTCAATAACTCTGAGGGAGAAACAAAGAAAGAAATTACCAGATCTAAGTGTCAGAAGCTGCTCCAGGCTTAAGACTCACCCTTACTACAGAAAGGACTGCAAGCACTATTCATTGTTTTAAAAATGCCCAACGCAGCCTTCCAAGCAAGACTATTGTTAGGCTATCAGTCTGTGAGACACAGTGAGACAAGAGAAAAGCTCACCACCAACACAAGAGCCTCCACACCCAGCCTCCCCTTAGATACAAGGCTCAATAGGCATATTTAAATTCTCCAAAATTCATACTTACTGAAGCAGCTCATTTGCTTTCAGGATGAAAGAACCAACAGCAATAATAGCCTCTGCAAAAAGAGCTAGCTGTTATTATTAAGCTTTCATAAGTGACATCAGAGGGGGTATGTAACACACTACTGTACCTTCAATTCCAGATGCATCTAATCCCAGAGACTCATATTTTTGTTTCCATAAAGCCATTCCTTTCAATTCACTCAAGTGATATAACAGTGCCTCGGAGCCACTAAGAAGACAAACCAAAGCATAATCTTTTAGTCACCCTTTGGAAATTCACTGCTTCACTGTATGCTACATTTTCATGATTTAATGTGCCAGGTGGAGAGCTTTACCTCTTAAATGCCAGACCAACTTATAAAGTATCAATTCACATAAAACCAAGTATTGTCCTCATGATTCTAACCACCACACAAAGTTGATGTGAATATTTTGCATGTAGCCTAGTAAACACACCCGGCAGTGACATACAGGTGGCTTGTAATGGAGATTGTTCAAAACACTCAGTAGTTCTCCATCACCCAAAAGCCAATTAGTACATTTTGCCATGATCACAGTGCCCACACCAGCACACCAACATACAAAGAGCCACCAACACAGCACTGCCTGTTAGCAAAGCATATAATATGCCATTCTATCGATAGTTCTGTGGACATTCCGTGACTTACCTCTGCAAATGACTGATGACCAGCTTTTGTATACTGGAATAGGAAGACTCTATGGACTGACCAAGTTTTTTTAAACCCTGTTAAAAAAGAAATGGAAATATGTAATAATGTTCTGTTAACAGAACAGTGATTAAAAGATAGTGAAATAGATTATTTTAATGTGCTATAAATATTAACATACCTTCACCGTCAGTTGGTTCATTAGTAACGCCTGAAGTTCCAGACTAAAGAGGGTGGGGGAGAGAATCAAATATCTGCTCATTTTGTGTTTCAGCATTGAATGCAAATGCATACTCAGATAAGACAACAGTAACTACCTTGCTTTGCCCCACAACAACAGCTGCATAAACTCATCCTGAACGGAAGTGGTTGTATTCTTTTCCTGTCAGTCAAAATGATTGAAATAGATTGGTAAAAGGATTAAGTCCAGGCTATTAAATAATCTCACAAACACATTCAAAATATATCGGAAAAACCACCCATATCCTTGAATGCCGAAATCAGACTACTGATCACTGGAAATTTTCTAGTATTTTAAGTTATTTTCAGTTATATTGCCCAGTAAAAATTCTAAGCAGTTTGCCATCACCAAGAATCTATTTTTTAAAAACGAAATAAAATTATTTGATTCAATTAACTTCTAGCCATGGTCAACAAACGCAACATTTAAGCCAATCCAAGCGCACCTTAATCATGGCTGTCGTGCATGCTCTACTGAACTAGGCTGTCAGTGCTGGTGGGCTGTTATTCAACCCCTACAGTACTCGGCTTATCAGTGACTGAAGTACAAAATGCACAACCCTAAACAGAAAGCAACGGATCAATAGCTCTGCAAGCTGAAAACCATCACTTTTGAGTAAGTTGGAATAAATAAAGAAGTACCACAAAACAAACGTGCCTGATTGTACTCAGGTATCTTCAGCATCAAAGCACTTGACACGCAATAGGTTCCAGGTTGCCTCTGAACTCAAGAGCTTGTTGCCTGGAGGCTTTATGCTTGAACAGCACCAAGTTATTAGGATGAACAGAACTATTGCAGAAAATGCTTTTCCAGAAGAATGGTTAATATGACAGTACCTGTACAAACTTGGTTAGCCGTGAGTCCATCTGCATCAGTATCTCTTCCCACGCTTCACACATGCACGTCAATGACAGCTTTATATACTGTAAAGACAGACACAGACGTTAGCGTTACTCCCTTTTTCCTCCCCTTCAAAACACATCCAAGAACTGGACGCTACAATACAAAGGGAAGATATACTGTAGATATTATATAAAATTTAATGCCAAATTCCAAGTTAAGAGTTCTACATTTACTTAAAATCAACTTAAGCTCCCTACTAGAAAACAGTAGGAGGTAGGAGAAAACAGTGTTACTGGTGTTAAGAACTGTGTCAGTAAAAAAAATGTACCACAACCATACCTGTAAGAGAGTTGAAATGTGAGTAAACTTCCGGGCCATTCGAGTTACCTCAGGTAAGTAACTTGATAACAGACTAGTATCCAGCTGTAAGAAACAAAACAAGCAACAGTTAACAGATTATTTTTAAGAAATTTTAGAGTACAGAAATGAAAAGACAAATGGGGAGGACCCACCCAAACACTGTCATTTCTCATTTCCTTGAAGATGATTTTATGAGGAAAATGCATTTAATTCCAAGGGACAATAAATATTTGAACACATCTATAAAAACTCCTGATGAAGCTGCTCATTTTGGAGTTCTAACAGTAACAGTTTTAAGGATGGCTGTTCTAAATAGACTGCACAATCAACAGCATTGCTCCTAGTCTTTGTGAGCAGGATGAAAAAAACCTGAATAACTGTAGTTGAATAAACAAATGCTATGTTTAACATAGCATTTTAAAAGAATGCCTCAGATCATAACCATCAGTCTCAGCAGTGAAACTGCATGTTAACGTGATAAATCCAAATGATAAATCCAGGATGAATTTCAGATAGGTTGGGAATGGTAGGTGGGTTTTTTCTGCAAATAATGGGACAGCACTAAAGCTACCAGGAAGTCATTAATCACAACAGTTTGACTTTTAAAGAACATTTTAAGATTACTTCACTTGCCTGAAAATACATTATCTCTGCTTCGCTGTCTGAAGAGTCTCGCATCTCTGTAATAACCGATAGTGACTTCAAATCACTAGACAAACACAGTCCACGACAAGAACCTGCCACCTGAAGGATTCCAGTTTAAAAGTTAATGAAATCTTGCATTTCTGGTCAGAGGTATTTATTGTTCTAACACATCCACATACAAAGGCGGCTGCATTCAACGACACGTATGTACAAAGTGGAATTTTCAGCTACTGTTTGGGAACAGAAGCACTCTTTTGACAGTGGATTAGCGTTGAACTTGGTTGCATTTTAAACAAGATGTTAAAGTTGCCAGTCTTTCCAATAATAACCACACAACCCAACTGAGAGAAACAACTATTCCCTTCCTTAAACTTCAACAGCCCAGTTTTGCTTATGTGTAAGCACACACAGGTCTTTTTTTCATTCAATTCCGCTGTAGCTTGTTACATTATGAAGAAAACACCGAGAGGAACAGAACCTACCCCAGTTACTGTAGCAATCTTGAACATTCCATAAGCATAAATCTCAATAAACCCTGAGCTGCCACCAAGGACAAGAGCATTAAGCCTAAAAAAATAGAGTATGTGTTGATGAGCATGCTGAAACAAATTGTAAAGCATACAAATGTAATTCTTAATGCTTACATTCCATCCTTTTACTGAAGATTCTCTGAAGAATCGCTGAACAAAAAGAAACATAGTACTAGTGTCTACAATCCAAGAAATTTTAAAACAAAAAAATTACTGGCTTGGATTTCATTGATAAGATGTGCCTTTAACACGTAAAGAAAGAATATCAGTTACTAAATTAACCAAGAGAATAGGGAAAAAACAACATAATTTAGGCACAGAAGCCCTTCTTCACTGACTTTGTACTTCCAGAAGAAAACAGTAACCGTTTCTAACAACAGCCCACCCACCAATACAGGTTGCAAAGCATTCTTACAGAGTTACTGTGGAGCTGCCCTGAGCTTATCCTAACTACACACAGAGTAAGTTTGTTGCAGTCTCTCAGTACCACTCCTCTGCAACACCTCAAAGGCATAAACATTTGAAACAGACAGCAGCAAAGAACAGCCCCAAGTATCACCAGCTTCAGAAACGGAAACCCAGTTCAAAAACAGGGGCTGGGACAGCCAGATCTGTGTTTTGCTCACTTACTCAAACCAACTTGCTTCAATGACCTGGGAAAAATGCTTTTCTTTGACCTCTCCCATTCTGACTATATTTAAAACATTAAAGTTTGGACAGGGAAGTTGCCTACTGCTGTCATGCATCCACACATCTTCAACTGCACGTATTTGCTTACATTACAGCGAGCAGTAACACTCTCCAACAAAAAAAAATATGCGTTTTGCATATCCTCTTATAAATACGAGAAAATTAACTGCAACTTCTGCCTGTTACACACCTAAGTATATGTTAAAGGAGAATGTTACCATTAAAACCAAGACAGAACTTAACAAGAGAGTAACTGAAAAACTTTTGATTAACCGCATGGATGAAGGAGCACAGATACCCGAAAGCTCCTACACCACAAAAAGCTGCCATGTGTCTCTTTCTAGCAGGGAAGTCCTGCTGTAAGGAGAGATAACAAGTCTTAAAAGGGAATAACTGGTGATAGAGATGCAAATTTTGAAATAAGGAGGATGATTCTCACTGATGGGACTGTAAAGAAGAGTGAAGGACAGCAAATGGAAAATCAAGGCACAGAGGTTAAGCGCCCTTCTCAAAGATGCCCCACAAGCACACCACAAAACCAGTCTCAGTATGCTAAACGACACTTCCTCCAGCTGCTCCTCACGTTTCATAAGAGATACCTCCTTTATTTTAAAGAAAGCCTAAAACAGCTGATTTCAAAGCTAATTTTGAGTCTAGCTTTGTCACATTCACACACTGCCTGTCTGTAAGAAGCATTCACAAATGTCTCCAAAAACAGCTTAAGTAACACATACAGTATAGGCTTGAAATACACACCAACAAATTATCTTCTAAGGAAAAGAAAATATGACACAAATAGCAGGTGCTGATAAAGTGCCTTATAATATCTCTAAATTGAGGAGAAAAGGTGTAAGATGATGGAATCTTTTGTTAATATATTCTTTGAATTTATCTTTGTATGTGAAAAAGACATGCCATATCCTTTCCCCAGAATCCTTAAAAACAGACTATGAATAATTTAAAGGTAAACCCACTCACCCATTGTTTTATAGCTTGAAGAAAAAAAAAAAACCATACACACACAAAAAACCCACCCCAATCAACACAAACAAAAAACCTCCACAACCACCCACATATGGAATTTACCTTACATCACCCAGAAGCTTCATAATCTCATCTGACTTTTCTTCACTGAAAATACAAAATATGTGATTGGGGTTTATGTAGCTTGTCTCAATACCGGAAAACAAAACCAAAACGAATAGAGAGATAAGATGATAATTTCTTACCTGAAAATTTTTGCACTGGTACTGTAACTGAAAACAAAATAATTATTCTCAATAAAAATGAACAGACATCTAATCCAAAGCATCTGCAGAGCATTAAAGATGAGTAACCAAAACAATGACAATAAATGACAAATTGTATCTTCTAAAGCTTACCAGTATAATGCTTACTTTTTGGGTAGCGCTGGCAATTTAGGCAAAAGGAGATTTGATTCATCCTCAGCATTGTAAAAGGAAGTGAGAACACTGAAAAAAAATACTATCTTTACCACCCAAGCTGTAAAAATGTGGGGGGAAGAGAATTTCTTTCTAACTTCAAAGTTACAGCATATATTCAATATGTCATTAAAAAGTTACAGGTATCAGAGGGATAATAACTTATCAAATTACAACAGAACTGCCAGTGGGGTTGGATGTAACACCAAAGACACATTGTGAAAGACCTAAGCACCAAACTAAAGATCTTGAGAACACAAGTGAAGAAAGACTTAAAAATAATACTTATTCGACTAACAAAATAGATGAGCATAATGGCAGGGGGGGTTGGAACTAGATGATCTTTAAGGTCCCTTCCAACCCAAACGATTCTATGATAATAACATTATTATAATGAGTTTAATTAATTGGTATCAAAGTAAGGTGGATCAGAAGACAGGCTGTATAAGCTAACACTAGATTAAGCAGCTCTTAAGAAGTGGGTGCTCAAGATCATGCTGAAATTTGTGTATATAATGTAAAGAACCACAAGTCTAAGATAGCAGCATTAAAACTAAGTATGAAAAGCGTCTGTTCTAACTAAAATGAAAATTTTAGCCAAGCCATAACAAAAAGCTAAGTAATATTATATTCTTTGGTATGACCGCGTGTACCACAGTTAAGTATAAATTACTTGTACAGTGGCACTACATAGCCCATAATTTACTTATAGGGTTTTTCGGGCTCACCTGCTTTCCTCAGTTACTTCCATCCAATGCATGTAAGTAATAGATGAGTCAACAGAGAAGGAGTGCAAGCTTTCAGGTTTTTCTACATCACACAGAATAATCCGCTTGGTATCGGTAAGGCCAAAAGCCAAAACTAGAGAAAGATGAGTAAAATGTATAAACAACCAACATGCAAAACTGTGTAGTTACTTCAAACTGAATCAGAAAATAACGTGTCTTCAAAGCCAACTACTGAAGTCTCTCCTTGTATCTTTATAGTCCTTCCAAATTCTCATTTAAAACCCTTCATTAAAATGAAGCTTTGAACCCGTACCACATTTTAGGTGAAAAATTTAAGCCAAAGGCATGGCCCCGCAATTTTTTATCTACATGTTGAACATCTTTCTAATACTTCCAACAACAGTTCTGATAAAGCAGAGGTGCTTTTATTTCCCCGCAAATTTCAGGCCAAAATTATCTATAAAGACTGTCCACCAGGAAGGTTTGGCTTTTATTACAACAAAATACAATTTAAGACTTGCACTGTGCAGCTTCTGCATCACTTTCTTCTTGAATTTACTAATTCATAAAAGCATCCGGCAAGCAAAGGTTTCCATGCTAACTTCCTTGAAATCACAAACAGCTTAAAAAGAAGTTTCTTAAACTCCTCCAACTCCATCATCAAACTACACAGGTATTTTTTACCCACATGTCACGGAACAAAACTGTTCCCGTTCTCCAGTTTCAAATGGAGTTAAAAAAATTAATTTCTAGCTTAGGTTTATTAAGCTACTCATTTCAACATTGTTTCTAAGGAAAAGGCTTTTTTTCCCTCTTGTGTATTACTAGAGCAATTTTAGCCTCTAAATTTCAACCTGTGCTAAATAAGTGAAGCTCTTCAGCCAACCCTGACCAGGCAGCCTCTCTCTGTACCTGCACAGTAAATTTTGTCATTCATATAAAAACACCATGCTTAGTTAGGAACTGGAAGGTTTTTTATACATTGCAAAGCAGTATTTTGGACATAAATCCACCTTGCAAATCTTTCTTGCAGTTGCTTTCAATGGTGTAACTCTATTACTTTAAATAAACCTACAGAAAATTAAGCTACCGCTCTCTCCAAACACAGTTTACTTGAAAATTTCCTTCACAGATAAGAGGTATTATCAGCACAACTTTCACTACTTTCCAATAGGACTTTTACTGCTCCATATCACCTCGTATACTTGACATTACTTTTGCCATCTGGTCTCCAAGCAAGAGCAGTCACTTCTTTTCCTGTGTTTTCGTTTGGAGGCAAACTCCACACTCGCTGAAAGTTTGCCAGCCGATGAAGTAAAACCTACAGAGCAAACACATTGAAGACAGAAGAATAGAATGTTTTCCCATCAATACCAGTTTGCAAATCAGTTCAAGATACACTTTTTTACCATTCTTGAATAACTCCTGTGTCTTAAATATCACCCGCTCCTGTGGCAGGCGATTCACCCCTATCTCATTTCAGAGGACAGTATACTGTGTACTATACAGCAACAGAGAAATAAGCTGCGCCTTGGATAACCGTCTGTAACCAGGCGGGGTTTCCCACGCCTCTCCAGCCAAGGTTGCCTGAGAGCACAAGTCTGTCTTCATGAAGGGTCACATACAACAGGTCCAAGGAATTAAAAAAAAAAACAAAAACAAAAACAAAAAAACACCCACCACACAAAAAACCCACACACACCTGCAAAGATATTCAATTTAACCAGAATGTTTCATGTGCTTTAGAACCCCGCAGATGCAGGCACTGAGAGCATCATCACCGAATTAGGAGGTAAAAAGGGGCAGTAAGTATTGAGAAGCTCGATAAAAAAACTGCTATTCCGAAACGCCGGGCTGAGCTCACAGGAACCATGCCACAAACGAGCAGAGGCACCTCAGCGACTGCACGGCAGAGACAGAGCCTCCCCGCCAGCTGCAGCCACC